CTTAGCATCTTCTTTACACACAAATTGCAAGATGAAAAATCAGCCAATATACTATATTCCCATAAATCTATATTTATATAATTATTAGTTAAAAAGCTTTACAAATAATTCTGAAGTGACAAATGTGAAGTAGCGGTATTACTAATATGAATTATGTTTACTTAATTTGAAACTGAATTAAATATTTAGACAACTAAACTGAAAAAACATGGCGGTGTGTCATATAAGTTATAGACTTAAAATTATTAATTTTAAAAAAAAGTTTTTTTATAGCAAAAGGGGCAAACGTCACTAGTGCGTCCATGAGCACCCGCAACACCAAGGGAATTTCAAGTCAGTTAAGGAAGCAATTTAAAGGATGAAAAGGCTGTTTTCTTGGTAGTTTCGATATAATATCGGTTTGGAAATATTCTTGATGGTTTCAATAAAATATCGGTTCAGGTATGTTATTGCTAGAAGGCTATCCAATATTTTTATTATTATACTTAAAAAATTATTAATATTATATATCAACTTGCTTAACTATATTCTTTTAAAATATATTATATTTATTAGATATAAAATAGAATTAGACAAAATAAGTGTCATAAAATAAGTATATTTTGTAAATGCGTGTAATTTTGTACAGTTGTTTACATATTACTACTAACTACGATTCAGCAAGTGTATAACTGTCCTAACAATGTTGTCACTATAAAATATAGGTATCGTAACAATCAGACGTAACTTTCGATTTCTACAAATAGAGCAATAAATGGTACATCGATATTCAATTCCTTTGTGTGCTTAGAAAAAAAAAGAAAAAAAAACTGGAGCGTTTTTGGCGGGCTTTCTACGAGCTATGGTTATTATGCCTCACTTTCACTCTTTATGAATGCAGTTGTGGGTTGTATATCTTTCTCTTTCTGGTACAGGTAACTGCTTTTTTATAATTTATATATTCATATAATTATATTCGAACCGAGCAAAAATTCAGCGTAGTGAGATTAGGCACGTAGGTAGGAAGATGCACAGCAAAAAGAACTTTAACATCAAATACAATACTAGTGTATATATATAATATTAAATTACCGTTTACAGCATTATGAAATTTCAGGACATACGTAAGTAAGTAGGCATGTTCTAGACATTCTCTTCAATACAAATGTTACAGATATAAATAAATAGATTCTCGTGTAATTTACATAATGAACACTGCAATGTTCCTAAAATAAACGACTTGTTTAAATAAAGAATGAGAAGATATGTATGTACCAGATAGGAACCATCGCTTTCTATTACATTATTAAAGTCTACCACACGACTTTATTACGGATCTGATTTATTGGAACGATCTAATTTACCACGGTTCAAGGAGGATCACTCGCAAATCTATTTACGTTGAGTAACTTCAAATGTTTTTATCAGAGCTAGACTTGGTTCAAAACCAATTTTGGTCTCAAAGCAGTTTCACGTGTTTCGGTCCAAAGCTGAGATAAGGCAGTGACATTACAGGTGTACCATATATAAGGTATCTGTAAGGCATGATTGCGTGGGTCTACCTTGTCACCAATTTTGGGCAGCTTGTCGTGTTTCCGTCCAAAAGTGACATAAGGCAGTGAAATTAAAGGAGTATATATAAAGTATCCGTAAGGCATCGGAAGAGATCATGCCGTACAGATACTTTGTCTTCAGGAATGGCAACGTATGACTGATACTATGGACGTCATATGATAACATGACGTCCATGTTGCTATTTAAGTCTATCGGGCGAGCTGTAATCTTTCCATACCAGTTATATATAAATAAATATTTACTATTTCTAGTTTATACTTTCACTAAAGTAAACTGCGATGAATTAAAACTCATAGATATTATTAGGATACAGAAGGAAAGAATATTGTTATAAATACAAACAGGAACTTGCACTAAACAGTTATTAAATTCAATTACATAACTGTAGAAAGTAATTAAGTTGAAAAATTATTAAAGAAATCAAGAACAATTTAAAAGTTACTATAATAAACACAAAAGATAAGTTTTTAAGTAAAGTAACTAATATGTGAAAATTTACAAATAAAAAAAGCAGGATTACAGAACCTCTTTTTAATTTTTCTGGTGTACATATAAGTCATATATCAATATAGTCAAAGTCGTCTGCTTGGTGGTTATTATTTCTTTTTAATTGATGATAATGGAATGGTGCACTCGCCAGCGCCTACAGTTTACGTTGGCGAGGCACTAGTGGAGGATGATGAGATGAATACGACGTCAGATTTAGCCCATAATGGTAAATTCAATAAAAAATTACAAGTTTTGTTTCCAGGGGGAACTGCGTGGAGATCAACCTGATATTGTACATTACACTGGAATCATTAGGCCACATTACTTACAGTTCCCTTCTCCCTGGCTATTATATTATATACATACATAATAAACCTAATTATATACATGTAGAGATATAGTAATCTCTATAGTTCTACGCAGAGTAACATGTACCAATATAAAAATTGGAAAAGTATGGAAAGGAAATGTCGCTATTTTAGTTCTCTTATGGAATATGGTTGCAATCTGAATACGAATTACAAATCTGCGCCAAACACGAGAAACTGTTTGGTTCTAACACTTTCCGCATGGAGAGTGGTTTGCGGTTTGAGCTGTGCTGTGTGTGCACTTCATATAAAATGAACTTACAATACAAAGATGACCTAGCTGCAGTTATTTCTTTATTACATTTCTAAACTAGATACCACTACATGTTATTTACAGCATTACGTAATAATCAGTTTATTACTCGTATCAACTTACTTATGTAAAGTCATTCTTATTTTTAAGAAATGATAATGGAATGGTGCACTTGCCTACGCTTATGGTGTATGTATGTTGGCGGGGCACCAGTGGAGGAAGATAGGTTGAGCATGAAGTCAGTTGAATAGACTCATTTTCGCGAATTTACCAAAAATACACGATATTTCGAAGGGGAATGCATAATAACAAATCTGTTATTGTGTTTCGCTAGCAATGGGGCCACATATTATAGCCATTATTAATATTGAGTTATACCTATAGTAGTTTTATTTAAATGTCTGACTGTTTTCTTGATTAAACGTTGGAACGGATCTTAATAAAAGAGGTGAATATAGATTGTATATCTAGCTTTTATCTCATTAAAAGTAGAAGAAGTCGCGGGAACGAGCCAATATCGTATAAATTAGATTTACATTATACAAACATCTGTTCGCATCGTCCATTTAAAACAATTTAATTGTCACCTCACCACAAATCGTCACCATTGCAGTTATGTTCTTTTTGGGCCCTTATTATGAGATTAAAACTTTCGGTCCTAACACTCTCACCTGTTGGCCGCGGCAAATAGAAAAACAAACATTTACTTCTCGCCGACGGCGTAAAACGCTCGATGAACACTATTTTGCCGTCTGAAATCAAGAACATAGAGTTTAATGGAAATGACGCTAAATAAACCTCACTGAAACACTTTTTTTTTTGTGAAGGTGTTGTATTATGTATCTACACTAAGATAGACTGTATTTTAAAACAGAAAGGAAAGAACAAATTCGCCTATTAAGAACGTTTTCCACACTCCGACATGAACGAAAGTACAGCAAAGTAACACCAAACTCACTATCCTTTGTTAAGGAACATCCCATTATATAGTATGGTTTAATGGCTATATACTCAATAGTATATAGATTAATTAATAACAGTTGTATAATTTTTTTTTTCGGAGCGTGCTTCCTGTAATTGTTCTAATTTTGAAATTATCTCTTTTTTCTTTTAATTTAAGTGACCACACGTTTTGTTCTTGGTAGCCAGTATTGTCGAATGCCCTCTGTTCTAGAAAGCGAGCTAGTAATACAACCTGCTATACAAAAACAACAACCTTATACTAACAACATTATTCAAAATACTGAGCACTGTCTTTGGTGGTGAATTCATTTGTTACCGTTTGAGGAGTTATTTGGTACTTACATACTGTTGTTTTAAAATCAAGCAGTTATATATATGTAAATAAAAGGATTGAAAATAAAATATATCATTTAATAATTATGCATCAAGCATATCATAATAATTAATTATTATACATCAATAATTTAATGTAGGAATCAGTATTCTGAAAGCTAAAAAAAAATACTATTTAAAAATGTTTATATTAAGTTAATGTTCATTATAAACATTCTTTCCATACATATTTCTTTAATATTAAATAATACTTTAGGAAATGAGTGCACGTAAATATTAATATGATTAGGTTAGCTCCCTTACTGAGTCTCTTCTAGTTAGTTTAGTTAGATATCTGTAAGTGTAAACTATTGTTTTACTCTTATTTTCAAGGTAGTTTCAATGCCGCGGTCTTGAGCAGTGTTATTCTGCAACTATTATAGTTGCTGTATTACTATAAAGACAAAAAATACAAGTGTTATATTAATGGTGACTTATTTCAATATTGAATACCCTTTATTGTTATACATATGATTGTCAAGAAACCATCGTGGTTAGTTCCTATTAAATTTGTGAATATAGGTTAGTTTACTCTATTTTTCTCCTTCCTACATAAAATATCTTTATACTGTTTACTTGTCTTAAAGAAATTTAAATAGTTATAATAATTATTCTTCTACATTTTTGATGAAACTGAAATTGCGAATACGTTAATGGCTAATCTAGTAGAAAGTGACAACCATTACTTATATAGTAACATGAATAGCACAACGGACACGGACGTCCTCATATGTAAATAGCACATATATCAAAAAATAAAATTATTGATAAAAACTTAATCATTTTAGTTCTGTGCTATTAAAATGATATCTTAACATCTGCGTTAGATTACGAACATAATTACATTCGAACGCCTTGCAGAATGGACCACATTTTTTCCACTTACTGAGCGCACAGCAAAGCCATCGCGCGGACTCTTGTTCATTTTTTTGAAAGCTATCACTATAAAAGCACTTATATCTCCCTTTCTGTCTTATTGCTCTAGTGACTTTCTTTAGAAAATGTTTCGGCTGGTGGTTTTCTTAGTCTTCACCACTTCCGTCCTGGGAGGGTTCTTGGATGGTGACCTGCAATTGGCAGATGGTGTGAAGTTAGTTAGTATACCAGTGAATAGTTTGGAAGATGAAGGTAGATCGTTCGGGGAGAATTCGGTATTGTTTCGGATGGCGAAGTTCTTGCAAGGACATGAATTGCATGTCCGATTGCCGAACTTGATCGAGAAGGACAAGCTGACGAGGGTCTTGGCGGAATCTTTGAAGACTGTGGATGAATCGAGCAAAGAAAACTCGGGTAAGTCAACAATTACTTTATATAAAACAATAAAGTCATAATGCATCATACACGTAGGTTCCCCTTCACTGATCGATGACCATGATGGTACATCGGTTTAAAACACATCTTTCACATCACAATCGCAGGTTCATATCCCGCGACATAAAAATATTTGTATTGATGAATATTTGTATGAATATCATTTTTTGTAATATCGGCTGTTTTGTATGTAGATAAATTAAGTAATTTTCTATTTGAATAAAAACAATGTAGTATTTCTGTCAGTTGTTTAGTATAGAATTTATGATTATAATTATCATAAATTCGACATACATAACGGGTATCAGTGGAAGGTTAAATTAGTTTAATTATAAATTTGTGTAAAAATACAGTTATTTCTGTACACACATTTATAATTTACTTTATTAACACCATGCAAACCAATAAATACATATGATAATATTATGAACGAATATATATTGTCACCGTTTTGTAAATGCTATTTCAGTCTACTCTTTTATTATAAGTATTCAAATTAAATTTACTGATTTTTTAAAATCAGATTAAGTTCATAAGTTTCTAGGTTGATTATTTCCTTAATTTAAAATAATGAAGAAAGTACTGACTACTTTCTTTATTGTATTTCTAAACATTTATTTAAAAGAACAATACGCAAGTCTCTTACTTATTTTTCTTGTAACGAGTCTGCATTCCGAATGAGAGGTAGATTCAAAATACAAATGTAAAATACAAACAACTCAAAAGTGCTTATTTTAAGTTAATTTGAAATAAGATTATTTCTTTATATCTATTGATGGGCACATTTCTTTTTATGGGCATGCTGTGAAGAGAAAATCTGGATATTCCCAGATTTGAATGTCTCGGAAATGTCTAGAATAATGCTTTATATATTCAACCATTTGTACGGACTCTCTACTCCGGAAGACCTTCCGGTGCTCTACAGACTACAGATTCTATTAAATGTGTCTGACTGCTTTTTATAAATGCCATAGAATTAAGTATCTACTTTGAATTTACCAAGTTTCGTAATTGCATGTAAATTTATATTGGTATTATAAAATAATCCCTTTGGTACAATTCCAACACTGGCATATACATATTTTCAGACTAAAACAATCATATTTATAATACATGAAGCAATACATATATTTTTATTGCGCAAGAATCGAAGCTACCAACAGAAATAAAGTGGTGTGCTAAACCGCTCTACTATCGTAATGAGTATACACAAAAATATTATTTTATTTCCACAAATGAATACAAATTTATCTATGCCTTCAATTCTCAAATTTATACGGAAATTTAAAGCCTTAATAAATAATAAATATTAATAGTAAATATATACAACTTTTACTATAGAAAATGTATTTATTTTAATATAAAAATGTTTTAATTTTGCGTAGAAGTAGATGCGTTTATATGTTTCATAAAGTTTTTATAACGTTAATTTTGCTTTTTAAGAATTCGTTTTAGATATAATTTCATATATTATTATATTCTTAATATATTTGCATAATATTACCCGTTATTGTTTAAAAAGAAAATATTTCACTTGTTTATTGAGTCCTACTGAATATAATGTGAGGTTACCCAGATAAACTTTCTTTATTTAACTAATAATAGAAAAAGGGTATTTCATTTAAAAATATACTATTTTTTTCACATTCATCAATTTTTTTCAATGCAATACTCAACGACTAAATATGTTTGAATAAAGTATTGAACTAATATCAGCAGCATCTTATTTTATAATGTATGCATATGGTTTAATAGATCTTGGAGTTTAAAATATTTATCATAGTCACCAACCAATACAATAAATGCTTAATCCTAGTTATGTATTCTAAAAGAAATGAGAAAGTTTGCGGTTGTACATTAAAGCATAGCACTAGATATTGAAATTATTCCTAGAATGGTAACAATAAAACATTAACATATTTATGAAATGCAATATTAAATGTACATAACTACTATTTAACACGCTATTTTATACAACTTAGTCGATACAACTAAACATTTATTAATCAAATATACAACTCTCTAATTTAATCTGAGCGCCAAATATAGCTTCCAATGTTTGAACACATTGTCAGGTTTGAAGATCTATGAATCAGCACATCTAATTATAAATATGTTCATTCATATAAATCTATTCCACACGTATATAGTTATGATAAGTTAAATCTCCAAACACTTCAGTGATTAAATGACAATATCATTGCAAATAAATGTTATTATTATCAGAAATGATTTGCAACAATTATGTATGGTCATAGCTATAAGTCAGGCTAATATTGGTGCAAATGGAGCATGCTATAATGCTGTATACTAGTACAAATTTGAAAATGGAATGTGTCCCAAAAAATTGACAGCATGCGGCGAAATTTATTCAGTTGTTCACAGTTTAGTTCTTAAAAGTTCGAATACCTATATCGTCCCATTTTATTGGTTAAGTATTTTATAGATTTATTAATTAAAAACAAAATATTATAACCTCTTTATCATGTTAATTTAATTACAACATTCAAGCGACCCAGAAATACTTGTATTCAAAGTCTTGGAATCGTTCATTGTTTTAAAACAAAAAAACATGCTAGTCTTAAAGTTAAAAAAAATATTTAATCAATTTTTTAATATATATGTATCTTTGCAAATCAGAGTACATCAGGATACCCGTTAAACATTTGTTTTTTTATAGCGACCGGACGAGGCAAAGGTGGTGGTGGTGGAGGCATAGCTCTCCTCGGCATGATGTTCGCGAAGGCTGTAGGTGCTGCCGGCCTTGGTGGACTGGGTCTTCTCACTATGAAGGTAAGGTTTAAATTCTTTTAGCAATAAACGCCAACCACGTTATAGTAAATCCTACATTTTTAATAGTTAATTTATAGAACTCGTTGTAATGAAATTTAGACTTTTAAAGTCCATTTTCTAAAAGGCTAGTCTTTGTATTAGTCGTTAGTATTATGTATATGTATTATTGAACTATGCACCACTGACATAGTATTAGTGCTTCACACCATATTTATCACATGTTACGCTCATACATTATTATATGTATCATTTACTATTTTATTACTTATTAATTAACAGCTGTGTCCTCGACTTCACCCGCATGAAATATATAGCCTATGTGTTCTTCTGATGTATTAGTTATATTACTGTAAAGTTTCATCCAAAATCTCATCTATCCATTCGTCATACTCACTACCATATTACTATTGATATTTATATATTCTTATACTTTTTACAAAAATTGCACTAGCTGTAATAACAACAGAATTGTCACTCGATCAATACAATTAATTAGTATGAATTTTACTAATTACCTAATTATCAAAATGCCTCTTCATAGGCATTTTGATCAGTCGGATTCACATCTAAAGATATCGAATTAATTTACTATATAGATCATTTCGAAGTCAAGTTGTTCGTGATCATTTTAACGATCGTATCGATGTTAGTAGATAATCACTCGTTAACTACTTCTTACGTAATTAGTTTTATTACTTTCGTATACATTATTAGTTTAATACAGCAATTTAAGTTTTTAATTTATATTGTGTGCTACATTAATTTGTGACTTCTCTATTTTTTATACGGAAAATGGAATTTAATAGGCTGGTTTAACCGCAACAATTATGAAATTCAACAAATACATTCTACAAGTACATTCACGCAATTACTAAGAAAATAAATTATGACAATGTAACGTATAAAGTCTGTTTCACTTTCGCTTTCTAAATTTTTGTTTTATTTTACCTTTTTTCGTCATTAGTTTAGAATGTTCTAGATCCACTACAGCGGGTAGCCCAAGATGCTGAAATAGTTATTTATTACACAAGAGCGACCAGTCCCGGTTTCGCAGAGATGCATTATAAATCTTTGAATATCTCGACTTGTTCTATACTACAATACGCATGTATTATACATATATGCCTTCCTCTTGAATAGCTCTATCTATTGCTGAAACCTGCATTAATATACGTATCGTAATTTACAACATATAAGCGAACAGACAGCGACTGTGATTTTATTTCATACTATGTAAAGATTTAATTATATACGTATGATTTAAATATTAACAGGTAATCTGTAGAAGCTAAGGGGATGCTAAAGTGGACTCTATTTCAAATTTTATTAAGATTAATTTAGCCCTTTTCTTTATTGTGATAGTAATATGAAATGTGTCATCTATCAAATTGCTACACCCTGTAAACAGGGGCCATGTGTGTGTTGTTAATTTATTATATTGTAAAATTATTATAAATACATCTAAAAGTAAAAATAAATTAAAATGTTTGATAATAATACCAAAAATAAAATGTGCCAAGACAATTTATAAAATTGATTTCATTTTATTTTACATTTTTAGTGATGACGGAAACAAAATCTTTTACCTTTTTTTTACTAATATTCATTGTTTACTCAGATTCAAATTGCATGTCGATGTCAGAGTAGAATGGGAAATGCAACTTTCTGCTATATATTGCAATTATTGTGATCATGAAATAAGTGTAAGACTTTACATAACGGCTACTTCGGCGTGGAGTCTTATCTGAAACGTCATCATCATGCCATCCAATGCATAAATTGCATGAAAGAAAGTTGTGTGTTTATTCATCTGCTTTTTCTAAACATTTTTCTATTTTTTTATACTTGGTACGGATTTCACTGCCATTTACATATTACTTTCGGATGATATGTTTATGATGAGTACATGGACGGGTAATTTTTTTTATGGTATTTTCGCAACCACAAAATTGTTTTTTTCGTAACTGAAATGGCAAACACGAGCACACCTGTTAATAACTGTTGCATATATACATGCCTAGTACCACGGACATCACGTTATCATGTGATCTCGTGGTATCCTTCATACGTTATCATATTATTTATCATTAAGACATCTGGGATCTAAATGTACAATTACTAATAGGTGAACACAGCATGTAAAAAAAAGCAGATTATCTAAAAACTTCTTAAATGAACAGTTATGATGAATTATAGATTGAAATTTTATGATGTTTTTCTTTTGGTGCTTGAATTACTGAATTATTCTTTGTACGCCGAAAACAGTAGAACATAATGAAATCTATAATATATAATTATCATCATTGTTCATACCATATTCTGATAAATAAATAAAATATTGTTATTATGATAATTAACAGTTTTTATTATGCTTATTATCCACTAGAAATTAAATCTATTTAATTTCTAGTGGATATTTCTAGTGGATACAATATCTATATTGTAGATTTAGTATAACTAATTTTTATTTTAGAAAAAAATAGAAAGTATTTAATATAAATAAATGAATGAAAAGTAAGAGCACGATCGGAAAAAATATAGATAATATATAAAAAGAGTGTAGGGATTAGTGGAAGAAGATATACTGCGTTGACTCTCAATAGTTTTGCGATGTCAAGGCAGAAATACTAAATGAAGAAACTGGATTAATGAAGATATAATAGCGGTTACTATTATTGATTATTAACATAACACCGATTCACAAGATCGTAAAGCCAGCTCAGTGTTGGAATGAGAGACTGTATCTAGCTAATTGGTAAAAGTGAATAATTGTGCAGACAGTCCCCGTTGTTCGGTCTCCGTGACAAAGTGAAATGGTATATGAATCACGTACGTACAGACACCAAAATAAGGCTATTTCAAACTATATTTACATTATTTTTTTCAATATTATAAAGAGGTTTGTGATAATATCCGGCGGGTACTAAAGATTCGTTTTTGAGAATTCGTTTTAAGCATTTTATTTTGTATTACCTATTCACCGTAAAAGGCTATGTTTATATAATATCACTCTACGACTAATATGAACAAAGTTGCAATAAAAAATATTGTAAAAACTCGGAAAATATGACTTAGTGGAGTTGTGCGGGTCAGCTGCTTATAATCATCATCATGTCAGCCCGGAAAACGTCCACTGCTGAATAAAGGCCTCCCCAAAGATCTCCACGACGATCGGTGCTGCGCTGCTCGCATCCAATGCCTTATACTTATATAAAAAATAACATTCACGCAACACAATTAAAAATTCATTCAGTTATAGAAATCCACATTTAACGAGTAATATTTCATATGGGCTAAGCCGCGGTATACATGGTAAATAGTGTATTATAAAATTAGCAAGATTTCTTTAGTATAAAAATATTTTTTCTTCTAACCATATTGAATAGCTCAGCCACTCGCATTCCCGCTGTCTCATCCTTTATGCTTTTTATTGCTATCACTGCAGCTGTAGACCACTTCTTGAACAATGGATCATGGGTTTTGATTCTATATAGATTTCGAATATATGTATATTTTTTATTAGACTTTGTTAAATTATTTTTTTTATATTGTATTGCAAAAAAAGTATGACATTTTTAAATTTCTTGCGGAAATAAAGTTCGCTATTGCTAAAACCGCAATGTCGATTTCCGAAAATTTAATTTTTTTAATGCCATTTGGATAAATGTTCGACGTGATGCGGTTACGGTTCAAACTATAGTTTATTAAAAATATTACACGTGACATAATAAAATATATATGTGTTTGAAAACATATATATTTTATTATATACATACATATAACATATATAAAAGTATATATATATATATATATATATATATGTAAAATAAAATACGATCATTATTTATACATATATCTTGGTTTGTGAAGTAGACCAGTATGTCTGTCCATAAAAAAATATTTGTCTTCTACCCGCTGATCTTCTGTTTACTCGTGATTATGGCGTTTGAAACGCTACCAAAATAGCAGAACCTCAATAAAAACAAATAAAATGTGGTAAAATACCATGATTTTTCCTAATTGTATATATATACAATATGTATGTGTATATACACATACATATTCTCGTCATTGTAGTGTTTTATAACAACATAATAAAATAAAATAACCGAAGACAAGCGATTCTGATTGATTTATTACTGTAATAAATGTTAACAACGTTATAACAATGGGTCTATCGAGATTTTAGAGGTTATAAATGTTATGTATTTACGTTATGTATATTGTTTGTTTATTTTACTTAATTTTAATGGCAGATAAGCTGACGGCTCTTCTATGGTAAATGACAATCGTCGTCTTATACATAAACAGTACTACGATATCATCACTACTTGATACATCATTATTACTTGGGCATTTCTGTGAAATTATATGATCAGGACTCGATTCACTGTAATTCTCATATCTGACGATTCAAACCAGAATATAGCCTACAAAATAAGCTGCTTGACTGAAATAACAGATATGACGCCACCGAATGACTTACTTTGCCCCTCTTGCTTTGCCATTCCGTAGGATTAAAATACTATAAATTTGTACCCTGAAATTTGAAATAAATTGTTAAGCTTTAAGCGATAAGACCGCCTTTTGTATCTACATACCATAAATATTGTTTTGTTCTGTATTTTTTTTAAAGATGCTATAAAGAGTTATGTATAAAAAAAAATATTCGGTAGATGCTTAGATAGATGACATTCACAATCGATTTAAAATAAAAATAAAGGAAAAGAAACACAAAACAGAAGGAAAAAGGCATTACTGAGAATTATAAATTTCATTGCCGTCTCTTAAACCGAAATGCAGCATAAAAACTCAACGGAGACGACTCTATACAAAGTCTGGCTCTGCCAATAATTGTCAGATGCCTTATTGCAATCTCTTTTATGTTTTGATAAACTGAAGCTACTTTTTGATAACAAAACGTAACAAAATTAATATGCAATTACTACTATTATGAGTGATGTTCATCTATTAAGAAAGAAATTTCATAGTTGGAGTTTTATATAAAACAGCATGTTAAAGACAATGACAAGACGTGACCTATTAGTCCCCCATATGGCAACGAATAAGATACTGAAGTACAACGTCAAGTCAGTTGTGGTGATATGACTATATGAAGTACGATGTTAAGTCCGTTGTATGTATAGACGACAGTCACTTTCCATCGGGTAGGCCGCCAACAGTTTTCTATTTACCGACGACCACCAAGAAGACCTGACATCGCCGACCGTCAGTAGTAGTACTTTAAAGTCACATTTACAGCAAACGTGGAAATTACATACTAATTTTATAAGTGGAAAAGATGAGTGATAAATATAAAGGAATAAGTGATATAAACATACATATAACTTATTCCAGAAACCAGTTATATCAAAAACAAAGTTATCTAATGTTTGTAACTGGGAACTTGAGTTCTCGTAATGATGTATTAATATGTTATGACGTATGCGCAATACTATGCACGTGTCATATAAACTGCATAGAAAACGTGAGTGATGCAGTGACGTAAGGCAATGTTATGAATACAGCAAATATTTAATTTTGACTGTAATATTACATTTGTGCACATTATATAAACGCGACATTTACTATGACTAGTGATCGCCCAATGGTCGAAATATTTAAATTATAAGATTGAATATTATTAATGTTCTATCGTCAAAGAACTATAGAATAGTCTTTGAAACATTACAAACATTGTGTAATGTTTTTTTTTTTATTTATTTAATGTATATATTAAGCATAATTAAAAAAATATATTACCTTTTTACACTCCTTCTATATACATAAACTAGAAGTGAGAAATTTTATGCTCCTCTGTTCTCATAATTTTAGTAAAAAGGGGAACAAAGTTTTTTCTCTCAATTATTAATATACGATAATATAATTTATGAACTCCTTATATTTCAACTCTAGTATATCTTAGTCACGGGTCAACCTACTGGTTTGTTTGTGATAACATTTGGACGATAGTTGAGGGTTTCTTTGGTGTTGCTGAAATTAGTAACTGTTTTAATTTTTGGTTATTGATTGCATTATTATTGATAATAATAGTTTGTTATAATGAGAGAACCTTTCCGTAATTAAAAATCGTTCAATAAATAAGTAAACATTTTTTTATGTTTTCTTTATTCTTATACAACGGTAGTAGATAAAGACATGAAGGAATGATAAAATGTATATGTATTTGTGTGTAATTACTTCCAGAAAATCTCTCGTGAAATAGCGGCAATAAAGTGCGGACAAGTATGTACTTGTCCTAGGAACATATGTTCCTAAACAAATAAAAAAAAAATGTATTACGTGTCTATTTGTAGACTAAATATAAATGTACATATACAATATTATACCTATGTATAACATAGTTTTTTTTATTACGTTGTAAAATTTTCTAAAATTGGCCAATGAAAATTATTACAATTTATTTATAGGTTTTATGGAAATGATTTTCAGGAAAGATTACCTACAATTATTGGTTATCAAAATGAATAAAAGGTATTGAAAGTTATTTTTGGAATCAGAATAGGCAACTCTTATTAAAATTATTTCAACCATTGGGTTTCTTGTCAGTTCTCTACTGCTACATCTTTCTGAATAGAACGGCACGGTTGACTTTAAATTTATCATAAAGAAATTAGAATAAATTAGAATGGGAAATTATTTATTCAAATGAACTTAAATACAAGCACTTCTTTTTTCCATCTACTGTTGATTCAGAAACTTTACTCATCACTAGAAGATCGAGCAAGAAATTTCCGTGTTGCTTTATTAAATAATTGTTGTAACTTTCCACTTTTGAGTCAACTAACACTAGAATCAAAATATTCAATACCAATCTACTAGTTAAGTAATTAAAAAATATTAAATCAGTTGTTGTAATCAGAGCAGAGCAGTCACTACCAGCAGCACTCGTTCACGAGTATGACGGATCAGCTAATCACTGCGCTCGACCATATTTTAGTGAGCCCAATGAAGCGGTTTCAATCTTAATAACCCTTAATTAAACACTAGCGACCCCTCCCGGCTTCGCAGCACGGATACATTTCAAATCTTTGAATTTCGTGGCTTGTACTATAGTATAACACGTACGTATGATACATATAAAACTTCCTTGAATCAGTCTATCTATTGCTGAAAGCTGCATTAAAATCCGTTGCGTGATTTAAAAGATATAAGCGAACAGACAGCAGCTGGAATTTAGTCTTACATTATGTAAATATATATTCTAGGTTATTTTCTATACAACTGTAGATAATTAAAATAGTCTCGATAATTCTGGTATCTAGACATAAATTATCTTAGTCAGTGCTATGCTACATCCAATTATTTAGGTTGTGAACATTCGTCGAATGGTACCGATGGGACAAATGTTGATTTAATGACACTCCAGCAAGCACGCCATGTAAATGAACCTAATCACCCCACAGTGACATCACGTACAATGACAATAAACATCAATATGGCGTCGTAAAAGTTAAATTACGTGACATCGTAAGCGGAACGTAAACGTAATAAGTGACAGGATTTGATGATGATGTTTGTTTATTATAGTGGAACTAAGACAGTGTTGAATCCTTAACTTAAGAGCTCTAAACGGATTGCTCGTCAAAACATAAATGACGGCTTTATACGCAGTTCTGACCATCAACCTACGTGGATTATATTTTTCTTGGTAAAAGCGCCTACAGAAGGGTGGTGAATGGAAGATCGCTCTCAAACTGAATGATTTTTTTATCGTGTGCAACGTCTTCAAAAAACCGTCCCCCCATCACTGGGGTGACAAGGAGGCGTGTGGTATTCTTACCCATTAAAAAAACATATTGAGTATATACGAGCGCCCTTGCCAGAGTACCGAAGTCGCGTTAGCATTCTCTCACAACTCTGGTGGCGATAGTTTAGGGCAGTGGGCATTACCAAACTCAACCATAGTGATAAATTTACTTGAGCTATACTACACTTTTATCGTAGGCGTATACACAATTCCATACAAATACAATTAGATTTGATATCTAATCGGTCAAGCTGTTTTCTTATTTTATGACATATTGTCTCGTGAGGTTAGTCGCTTAGTCTTAAATATTAACAACATTTCGTTAGTATATAAAAATAATAAACATGGACAATTTACACAGCACCATCCAGCTATAAGCAGAGCTTGTGTTATAGGTTCTAGATAAACTGATAGAAATTCTTAAATGCATTTTTCTTGTAAGAATCTAAATAGAAGATAACACCCAAGTTAATTATACCCATGATTACAAGTGTTTAAATCAAGCCCGCGATCAATGGAACAAAAGCGGTGTGCCACCAGTTCATCAAAGCCGTCGATATTGCATCAAAGTGAAATATATTTTTTTTAAATATTATCAACCAATTATAGTTAATGCACTAATGAGGATAATAACTTTGCAACCTACTTGATTATTTTCGCCTTCATCACGCAATGACGTAGTATGGCCAATGAACTATTATTCTGTAGATACACATTGTCTGTTCCTGGATTTTTTCCGTACAAATACACATAACACGCTAGCTCGCGTGTCAGTAATTGTTATAATATCCGTTTAGTTCAGTTATCCAAGGATATCTAGTATTTTAGTGGTCACATTGATAGCAATATACCATGTCAAGTCGACCTCCTCGCAGTCCATCCATGTTATCTCCTGGTTAATTAGCCACAATGGTACAACTAACAATACTCATGCTCATCCTAACATCTTTCACTGGTCGGAGCCAGCGATCATTCTATATCCAGCAATTAAAAAATCAAGAAACTGAACTGGAACTTCATCCAAGAAGTAAACTCGAACATTGAAAATAGTAGGTTCAGAACCTTCATTTACTATGAAAAATTCGGAGTTAATTTACCGAAACTTTGATTCTAATGTCTTATTAAAGTCAATATTAATTAAGTTAATTCTCTAGTCCTGAAGTTGGAAATGTCTATTTGTTTATTACAAATGGGTTTGCGTTTGATCTTCTTATGAAAAATAATGGCAAGACTTAGAATGTAGCGTTTTCACCCATAATATAACAATAACATTTTCAATTCACAATTTCTTTAAACTAACATATTTGTACCTAGGATATAGCGCGCTCAGTTAGAATATAATAATAATAATATAATTTCTTTAAATTAACATATTTTTATCATTTAAACAGGCTCTGGCCGTATCTGCAATGGCACTGTTGCTCTCAGCCATCGTCGGAGTTAAGAAATTGGCGTCTCATGATGACCACGACGACCACCAAGTCATCTACGCTGGTCACCACGGTCACCACAGAAGGAGACGGGATCTGGATACGCCATTGCCCTATCAAGGATGGTCACAATACGCACAGAAAATGTCGTAGATATTGAAGAACGGAAGTGACAATAATTTTATTAGTCGCTTAGTCTAACCGGGAAGTCAGTATACCAAATAAATATCGAAATTTAACTGACTGGCACACAGTAATAGAGTAATACTTTGAAATAAAAATAGTACAATGTTTTGTTGGAAAGTGTTGCGGAAATTAAAACAGTAAAAGCGGAAAATTGTAGTAAAATTAAACAATAATATTTTTACGCGGGCATTTTTTTTTTGCTCGAACTAAATAGTGTGTAATCGAGTGAAATTATTATGAATTCTCATCTGTGAGAACGTAATTATTACCGAAATATTAGACATGAGTAGCAATTATAAAGAAACAACAAACATTTTTATGTATAATTAAATTAAAATCCTCTATAAAAGTCTACTAAGTAACGACTTTACTCACACTAATTAGTAAAGGCTAAAATAAAAGAAAGTATGTACTATTTTAATTTATTGCAACAGTTCTTAGAAATATTGTACTCATTATTGTCAGCAGCAAAAACTCAATCCTCCATCTACCAGTTGATCGTTTTAACTATTCTCGGGATATTTCTCTATCTGCCCAATACAGTATGACTATTAGACTAACGTTAGTTAAGTAATTTATTGTAAATAATTTATTTATGCTCGTTACAAAATGCGATTTAAACGAACGAATAATTTATTTTGAATATTTATTAAACGAATTTATTTAAATTGATTGTATTTATTTCAATTACATTATTTCTATACATCTAAATGTAATCTAGGACACTAATAGAGTTATGACGTCAATACATGTAACAGTGGCTAGCATGAAATGGTTTTATGAGATAAAACATTTTAGTACTTGACAATGTATGGATGTACATATGTGAATGGTTAAAATAATCTATATTAAAGTTAGAGGTGAAATTTGGAAATTTGGATGTTTTGGGGTAATTTAAGGTACTATAATTCCGACTTTGAATATTCTTTTAATATTTGATAGCATATTTATTGAAGAAGACTACATAATCACACTACAATCAATATGAGTGGAGCTGCGATAAAAATGTTGCTAAAACTGAAAATGTAACGCAGGCAGAATTGGGCTGATCAGACGGTGATATATACAAAATACATTATGCAGAGGCATAATGTATTTTATATATATAGGCATAACATCTTAGTTCATCTTAGTGCATGACATGACATGACATGAATATCACAGTCATCACATGTTGACGTGATGTTCACGTACTATAAGCGAGGCTTGCAACTGATTATTAGAAAGAGCAGCTTGTTAAAAAAATAAGAAAATATGAATAATGTCTACTGACGTCACTAAAATTAGTGTATTGTAAAATTAGAGGATCTGTGGTGGTAGTGTTAAAGCGGCCGGCAAGTATATAAGGTGATCTAAACAGCAATCCAGGACCTTCCTAATTATAGTTCAGATATTGCCACTGATTTTAATGCCATGTGTAGACCAATATACCTACAATTACCTTTCTCCCTCCAGGATATCTGATATACAGAGAAAAATGGCGTGTATCTATACAAAATATATTTATTTATTTTCATATATATATTAATTTTTTCAATTAAAATATAAAAAGACAGAAATGTATAGACAAAAGGGATTTACCTTTTGTCTCAAATTAAATCAAGATATCTTTATGCATGTTGGTCTATTACACATACATAAATCAAATCTACCAAAAATTAGAAAAAGAAGTAGAACTCTGTTTAAATATCTTTGGTGTTTTTAGAATCAATAATACGACTATAAGAAGGTTAAAGTAAGAGAATAATAAACAAACTAGAAATCAATGTTCTGTTGTTCCCTTCTTTGGAAAAGTTCAGTCTTAATTATATATGTAAATATAGACTATTGAAATTCTCTCTGTTTAGTATATCTAATGATTAACAGACTACCGTAGAACAATTCACTTCCTATAGCGTCATCCGTTATATAGTAAACATAGAATATCAAACAAATAAAGTTAGTCTTGTAGCTTTGTAGCAATATTATCCCCAAGAAACTATGCTAATATTTCACAAGTTACGACTTGACTAGTTTCACGTAAATCATTAAATTCTACTCTAACTTGTTATAGTCACTAATAACAACTCCAGGTTATACGCTAAATTCTGAGAGGCACTATACTAATATTGGATCACTACACTACTGTCCAGCTGAATAAATAATATTAATATTTTAATCCTTGACACTTATTAAAATAAAAAAAACGAATTAATTCTGTTACAACAAACAAATACGAAGTGACATTACTAGTTGGGATATGAGTAGTTAATATTCAGTATTATCAAAGACTATCGATGTGGCGATAGGAAGCAGAAGCCTAGGCAGACCACCTGCCAGAAAGTCGGGAGAGATTAAGAAGAGTTCAGTTCAGACCGACCTGTACCAGATGAACAGCACACCGAAGAAGGTGGATAACTCTGTAAATGGCGGATGTCCAGCAATGGACTAATATTTGCTGAAGAAGAAGAAGATTTTCAAAGACGTATTCAGATCTACAATTTTACATTGTTGTGTACATTGTATAGAAACTTTAGTCAAAAATATAGAATAAGTGAAAAAAGCAACTACGCTTTTTCCGGACAAAAACAACTTTCACTGTGTTCAATACGTGCGTTCTTTTGTTTTAAGTAACTGTTCTCTGGGCAAATTAGTTTTTAATCGGCTATTATAGAAGTAATTGGACCTTAGAAGCATAAAATAACCGTTTATGTCCCTTTGTTGTATATTATAAATACTTGTACTGTAGTTAACTAGGGCGCGATGAACTCTTTTCTTAATATTTCATTTTACCCGACTGCAAGAGGGTTTTAAATACAATTTTGTGAAAACAAAATTGTGGCAATAAATTAAATAATTAATCGCTTATTGATCCAATATTAGTGCTGCACTAATTTTGTGAATATTTTTTTTTTCTTAAATAAAAGAGGTACTATGCCTACCTATATTACTTAACAATTTCTTTCCACGTACAGTAGGATAGTGGAATTAACTGCCTACTGAGGTTTTCTCTAGAGACGACAGCATGCGATTTTTCAAGAAGGTATTTCTTAAGGGTCGGCTACGCGCACGTGACACCCCTGTTTCAGGCTACGGTAAGCGTTTGAAACAGATGGGCCGTATACTTGATTGCTGACACTGTGGTATAAAATACAAGGTATCTTTTATATTTTTCAGATAAGCAGTGTAGTAATTTTTATTTTATGGTTGTTAATAGAAAACTTAACAAAAAACAAACTCGTGATCGTGCATCAAGGGTGAATAAAAAATGCATGTTTTTAAATTAGGTGGATTATATTCAATACTGGCTACCCGCCCAAACTTCATACAGGTGTATATGTATTACACATTTAAACCTTCTTCTTAAATTACTCTATCTATTGATAAAAACTGCATTAAAAGCCGTTGCATAGTTTAAAAGATCTAAGCAAACAGACCGCGAATGCAACTTCATTTTAAATTACGTATATGTAAAGATTAATAGCGAAAACTAAACTTAATCTCGTTGACATTTATAAAAACGTTAGGTTGTTGCAGTACGTTTTAAAGGAAAACAGATCAAACCATAACAAAGTCAAAGGTTATCTTAATTGAAGATATTGCCTGCAAGAATGCATCTTATAAGTATTGCATATGTCAATCCAGGATATGATCTGTTTATATACCTAAATTTCATTCCAATGTAAGAAGTTATGAAATCATCCTCATAAATTTAACGTGTATATTGGTTTATATAAGTTGCCTGAGAATCTCAAAGCAGTTTGCGAGTTGAGCTTCGGTTGCAGAGGAAATGCAGTGAAACCACATATTAGTCCTACGGAACAGCAACGTATGAGCGTAGGTATGAGGTAACGCATGAGGTAGATGGGCAGTGGAATAATATCATAATCGTAGTGCTATTCATGTATTTAGGCGATGGATACCATTTAGCATTTTATCCGTTGAAGCTGTAAAAACAGAACGAAAACAAAAATCATTTATCTTAATCAGGTCGTCAGCTTCTTTGTTATTCCCATTACATAAATAAAAGGTACAAGTGGGGAGGAAGTAGAATTCATAATTACCCAATTCTCTTCTAGATTACTACGTTTAAAATTAATTAAAAATATGTAAAATAACATGTCCACATAACAGGTATGTTCAAAATATTATGTTCAATATCTATGCAAATTTTAATCAACGCCTACATGCAAATGACAGTATTACACTGTGTACTTGTGTACATTGCTGTCCAAATTTTTATAGGCACTTAACCCCTTGCTGTTTGTTTAATTTGTTAATGCGAGCATTAATATGTTTGTTACTCATATTATAAATTAAAATTTTGTTGTATCATGTTGGTATTAAAAATATTATAGAAAATAGTATGCCTGAAAATATGAATAAAGGCTTACAACAAAACAACGAGTGCAATACCTAGGTAGTATCTATAGTATATATCTGGCAATATAAATTAAGAATTAATTTCAATAAGTAATATAAATAGGTATAAACATCATCGTACACCATGTCCATATATCTTATTATTATTATTATAAACGCGAAAGTTTTTGAGTATGGATAGATGTTTGTTGCTCTTTCACGCTAAAACTAAAGAACGGATTTTAATGTAACTTTGCAGTAATATAGGTACAACAGAATAAGAAATAGGCTATAATTTAAAAATATATTACGGAAATTGGGCGAAATATAATGATAAATGTATTGCTGAAATTATGCGGGGTAGCTTGTACTTTATAATGTTGTAAATTTACTGTTACGTGTTAACAAAACTTTTTATAAATAACGCTATCTATCTAAATATTTCAGCAATAATAGGAAGAAACTTTCTTCGTTCTATAAGCATGCTTATTACAAAAAGAGATCTACTTACAGGCAAAGATGGCGCTACAGTTGTAAGATGGAAAATTATTTCTTAACGACTCCGCGGCTCTACTGATCCGATTCTAAATATTCTTTATGGATGATGTGATTACGATAATAACTATAATCATGGTAATCAAATACACTAAGAATTCATAAAAGACAACTAATGGAAGCAGAGCTGTAATGAAAACTGTTGCTAAAACGGGAAAAGTATGACGTAGATATTGCATGGATCAGCTAGTAATATATTTACTCAGTGGTAGGTACCTGCTTAAAATAAAGTTTTAGATAGGTTTCATATAATACCTAAATCTAATAAAAAAATATTATATTATATAAGATTGAGAGTAATAATTGATTTAATTGTATACTAGTTTTAGATTTGAGATAACAACCGTTAATATTTTCTGCATTTTCAAACAGAACTTTTTATCTGGACTATATTTTTGTACCCATTTAGGTATCCACTTATCTATTATTATTTTCAGTATCTTTGTTTTGTATTTTTAATTTGTGGAATCTCTTTTTTTTTATAAATGTTTGTTTTGAGAATTTTAGATAAAGTAGGTGTTTTTGATATAAAAGTAACTGGCCTCAGTCTCGTTCAATTGTAAGTTCTTCTCTTTTCTTTATTTTAAGTTAGGACAAAATTGTGTTAATTTTCTAGAGATGCCTATATTAATTTATTTTATATAAAGTAACATAAGACACACTAAGTTAATTAACGTAGTCTAATAGGACTGGGGCGTCTAAATTTTATTATATGCGGAAATAG